TCTTTTGACTCCCGTAGACCATCTTGTCAACCGTATCATGCTGCCTTCTGAATACATCACTTCAAAGACCTTGATGGAGATGGAATTTGGAAGTGGTAGATAAAGTGAGGTCTGAGATTATTTGTGAATTGCCATTATTTTGCTATCACTGTTTGCAATTAACTTAGATTACCAAGAGTCAACTATAGAGATAGTGTCAGAAGTAAATAACTGAAATCTAAATTTAATCCTTGATTCACAAACCATGAATTATTGGTGTTGATTTTAATAAAGTTAATAGAATGGAAACACAGAACAAAATTGACAGAATTACTTAAAATGTATAATGAAAAATTTTAAACTATTGAAAGAAGTCTGTAATTTCACAACTGAGGCTAGGTAAGTTTGACTCCATTGAACCAGAAAGAAGATTCAAATACAGCACAGACTTCCTAGCCAGAATCATTCCCATTCCTAGGCTTTCGAGCATTTAAAGTACAGGAAGTTAACTCACATTTCCAGTGTCTTAGAGGAACGGCATTAGAAATAGAGCCCAGGCCTCCTGCCCCACAAGTATGTGTTCTTACTGCTACGCCATCTGATTCCTAAGGTTTGAACTGCTTAGTTTAGTGCCAGAGAAATTAGACTGGATTTTCATTTTAAGACTCCCAGGGGAGACTGTCTAAATTTAGCTAACTATAAATTCTAAAGTTTTCAAAAATTTTTCAGCATTGATATTTAATCTGATTATTCTATTTCTGAATTACTTTTTGCCCACAACCTCATTTTGACTAGAATAGCTGATTTTCCTATATAGTGTTCTGTGTGCTAATTTAATTAGTTATCACAGTCATCACAATCCACTGTTAAAATCCCTTTTTAGCGACTATTTAGGACTCTTCCCCAGGGCTGTATGTGATAAAAGTTCTAGAATATAGCCAAGAATCATGACTCTTACTTATAGCACATTTATTTTATTCTAACAACAGTAAAGAAGAGTTGAACTCATTATTAAAAGTATCTGTTTTCCCACAGTTGGTTGGTAAATTATTTTTAAGTGTAGTGGGTATATTCAGATAACACTTGGCAGCAGAAGGCAGTTAAGGGCTGTAAACTTGGAGTCAAAACACCTGACTTCTCACCCCAGCCATTCTGCTCCCTCGTTCCTATGACGATAGGCTAGTCGTTTAATTTTTCTCAGCCTCAGTTTTATCATTTATAAAACGTGGGTGATTTTTTTTTTTTGTCCTTGTCTTCCTCATAGGATCATATAATATATAGTGAAAGTCAAATCAGATGATGGTTGTAAGAATGTTTTGTTATCCCTAAAATCTTTATCATAAAATAAGCTGTTGTTGTGAGATTAGGAAAGTCTTGTCCTGATAGGTCTTGAACTGGTTCATTCCAGTTGGAACCC